TCATCCTTGGTGAGTCGAGTCATGATATCTGCATGATCACGAACAACACACGGAGCGTGCTTGAGCGGCCATCGGGAATGGCCCAAATCAGTTCTATTGCAAGAATAACTAAGTTACTAACGATACCTACTCATCTTCGCCGAGGAATCAGCGATCACACGAGCTAGAACTCCGATACAGATATTTTCCAGGTGCTTTGGTTAAGGACGATATTCATTATCTGGCTGTTGCTTGCATTGGTAACACATCACTGCAATTTACATCACCAGAAGTTATCCATTATCACGTGGTTATAAAAATATATCGACGCAAAATTTCCACATGTTTGCAAAAGCAGCAAGAGTCCAAAGAACCGCTTATAGGCGTATACACATATCTGCCGTCCACAGACCTGTTGGTGCAGGAGGCCGTCCTTGCTATGCAGGAGCAGCAGTCTGCGGCCTCGGAAGGAGACGTCGTGGAAGGCAGGAGCAGTTGTAAGCCATCGCGGTCTTAGTCTCTAAACTGCAAAGACATTTTGTTGCTAATAATCTCCCCTCTCTTTTGTTAGGTTAGGTTAGGTTAGGTTAGTGTGGTGCACCATTTCAGCTTTCATGAAAAGAATGTGCTTGATCTTTTTGCCCGCTGGTTCGGATATCTTGCAATGTTTCATCGTTTGCTTGTTTCTGGTTTTCTTCAGCACATTTATGTGTTTACTCACAAAGAGAAAACGTTGCCACAATCAATCATATAGATTCTTAGCCTCACCATCATCTTAGTCAGATCAGTGTGGGCGTCAACACTATTATCGGCATCATTTTCATAAACCATTTTCTTTTCATAACACCTCCATCATCAATCAGTTCAACACTTTTAACATGATTTTCTTTATTAGGAATTCAATTAATATCAGTCTCACTATCACTAGCATAGGTCAGACATCCAAGGCCTCACTTAGAAGCACGTTTCTCCTATGAAAGTCTTGAGCTAGAAGACTAATCATGATCTCAGATAAGTGATGGCATAAAGGTCTTTACTGTAGCATTTCCAAACTTGATACACTTTGCTTTGTACATGCACATTATCGAACCCTGTTGAAACATCTTTTCAATTTGCATCAGTTTGTTTGTTTCAATGTGATGCTACCAACCAATCAGAGCGCGATATTTTTCAGATATATTTCACGCAGTCTTACATAGGAATTTATATTTTCATTTATTTTAAATCGCCTCATAAGCTTCTTGATATATATATTTTTTATTGTAAAGGTGAATAAAATGTTTATATGCCTTTTCAGCATCAAGTACATGCTCACTCCATGTAGGTAAGATTAGAAGTCAATCATGACAGTCGCTGAAATGACATGGCAAGACGTGGTATTGGCTTTGGTGCGATGAATGTCTTCAAAATCATTCTGTACCTCTGTCATATAAGCTTACAGGCTGTGAAATATCAAACAAAAGGCTGTGTATCTTGATTTGTTGATATAATTCTATCATATAAGACAAGTAAATGCCCGTGACCATTTGAACTATCTAGTTGTCTGTTTCTGACACAGAGCTGAGTCATGATATGGATATGATAAATGCAACTTTAACTTTTCATGTTGCAGAAAAGTCAGGTACTTTTTTGCTTCTAATTAGGAATCATAACATCATATTATCTTGATGGTTTTCTATTGAATTTATTTGTGAAATTAAAAACTCCATATGTCAGTATAAACATGGACGATATCGTGTTCTGAAGCGACTATGATACGACATGAAACAATGTATCAAAGTGTTAGGGGTTCCAGGATGCTACAAAAAAGCCTTAAATGCATACTTGTAGAGCCTAATATTGTTCATTAAGAGAAGGGGAGATACTCGGACGATCTGTCAGTATGGATTACTTTGAAATTTACATTATGTCTAGTGTTGTGTAAATAGCTATAAAAAGGATCAGGAACTGATGAGACATAGAGCTGTGTTAAAACAGATATCTAGTCAGTACTTTTACATATTTACTATACTAATCACAAGGCTTAGCTAAGAGGGCAATTAAAACAAGAGCTCTTATGATTAGCTACGTGGAAAGTTGACCTGTAAATGGTGTCAATTTAGCATGCTTCCTGCCTTCAGCTTTACCAGCAACGGATGCACTCAACGAGACAGAAATTCCATCGGTACCAGCAGATGACACAGCTTCACCGCCCGTAGAAACCGCGGTAAGATCAACGGGAGTCGAAGCCACACCTGCAACAGAGACAGAAACAGCAACAGAAACAATGGCAACATCAGCAGCAACTGTAACAGAAGCGGCGACAGAAACAGAGGCAACGACTCTGATGACCGATACATCAGATCAACCGGCAGCTGGTAGGCGATGAGGAACGCAATACTGCTTGTTACCGACATGTACACTGCAATTTTACGTGCTTTTCATCACAGCGGGAATGAACCAGCATGTTACTTACACGTTTTATTTTTCTGCAAGACGAAGATACATGTGCATGGCTATTCCAGCATGAACTGACTGATTT